CTTTTTAATTATTGTTGTTAAATCTCTCTTTGTTTGTTGATTTTGAGGAGAAAACCTCAAATGTTAGCACAAATCCATTTGGAGAAGATTCACTTGCAAACAGAATCAACCTAAAGGAAACTACAGATTTCATAAAGTCACTGCCAATTTCATCAAACCAAAGCAGTAGCAGTAGCAGCAGCAGTGAGATGTTAAACGAGAGAAGACCAAGTGTCTCATCGCAAAAGAGCATTGGAGAAGGAAGAAGCAATGGACAGAGAAGATTGATGTTAATGGAGTCTCCTTGTACTCCAGGTAGAGGAGTCTTCAGTTTCAGTAGCAATGTCTCTGGTAGAAGAAGAAACTTTCCTTCTAAATGGATTGATGCTGAGAAATGGGTCACTTCCTCCGGTCATGATTCTCCAGCACATTCCCTCAAAAACACCCAATTTGATGGGTTCAAACACCAGGTTTGCTTCTCCAAGAACATTTTGGAATATGATAAAAGTTCGAATCTTTAAATGAGAATGTAGCAGTAAAATTGAAATCAAGAATGGGCTTTTGGGATTTTGCAGGTGGAAGTTGTTTATTCAGAGAAATCTAGGGTTACGGAAGAATGTTTCCATGGATCTGTCTCATTATCTCCACAAGATCTTATCCTTAAAGGTAGAAAAAAAAAGATGAAACCTTTTTAGTAGAATCTTGAAAAGTTTTTATCTTTTTAATGAATTAAAAGTTACATTTTTGATTCTGTGTTCTTTTAGATAAGTTAGCAAACGAAGTTCCACAGATTCTTCCATCAACGGAAGGGTTTATATTCAAAGATTCCGACAAGTTTCTCCGGTACGAGGAAGCTCAAGTTCAACACAGAGACATGGGAACAGAGATGACACCAATCGGAAGTGTAACAACTTCAAGATGTCACACGCCGTTTAAAAGTTCCTCTCCGGCGAGACACAACACGCCTTCGCAACTGTCTGGTCCGTTAACGGAAACTAAAAACGTTATAGATATATCCGAGTTCGCAGACAAGCTTAGACTCAGTGGGTCAACAGCGAGTCACTATTGTAACTCGGTGACGAGTCACTGGAACTCGAGGGAAGAAGAAGAAGAAGAGATATCGAAGAGTTTAAGACATTTCGATATGGAGAGTGAGTTAAGGAGAAGTGTTTCTGAATCTAAAGCTCCTTTATGGGATGATGAAGACGACAAGATCAAGTTTTGTCAAAGGTATAAACTTTAAATCTTGATGAAATTATGAAAAAATCAAGAACTGAGTTTTGTGTGAATTAAAAAAATTGAAATTTTTTGAAGGTATCAAAGAGAAGAAGCCAAAATCCAGGCATGGGTTAATCTTGAAAACGCTAAAGCAGAAGCTCAATCCAGAAAACTTGAGGTATGTATGTGTATACGTATGTTTTTGAGATTATACTGTATAAAAATACGGATTTTGTTCTGTTCTAACGGATTTGTGGAGCCACGCGCCAATTTTAGAGTAATGTTCGAAGTCCTTACTTAGTTTCATTGACTAGTCTTTGAGTTTCTAATTTTAAAATTGGGATGACATCTTTGTAGTTGTGTACTTGTAATTTGTGCAAGTCCCATGTGAAAAGATTGATTTTACTCTCTTGGGAAATTGGAGTCTTAGATTATAGTATTATTCATCATCTATCATACTAATTGAAATGATTAATTTTCAAGAATTAGTGTCTGCGTTTTTTTGGTGGTTATGTAGTAGCTACATGATAGTTGTACTCGTAATTTGTGCAAGTCCCATGTGAAAAGATTAGTAATTTCCTCTCTTGTGAAATGGGAGACTAATATTTAATTATTGATCATAAATTATCTAGCTATATAATCATAGCAGTCTATACATGTAGTTGAGTGATGAATTTTGCAAGAATTAATGTGATTTTTGGGGTGGTAATTATTGTTGTAGGTAAAAATACAGAAGATGAGATCAAATTTGGAGGAGAAATTGATGAAGAGAATGGATATGGTGCACCGCAGAGCAGAAGATTGGAGAGCTACGGCGAGGCAACAACACGTTGAGCAGATGCATAAAGCGGCCGAGACGGCGAGGAAGTTGACAAACCGCCGTGGCTATTTGGTTACCGGCCGTAGCTCATGCGGTTGTTTACCTTGCAATAATACTTATCATTAAAGCAGAGTTAAAGTAAAAGAAAACTAAAAAAGAGAGTAAAATACACATAAACAAACACAAGAAATTACTGTTTATGTGTTTAGAATTATCAACATGTATGTTCGTTTATGTTTATGCAAGAAAAAAAAGCCGATATGAAATAACGAATCACTGAAATTTTTTTTTTTTTTTTTCCGACTGAATGATTCAATATATTGATAACTTTGGTTAAACCGATTACAACCTAATAAAAAAATAGAGGATCCACGACAATCACCTATACCGAAGAGAATACAAAAGGTACCACGGCTAAGCAGTAGACGTCTCTTCACTGAACAAGTCATGTAACCAAATAATTTGTTGAACATAGAATTGTAATTTTGTGGTTTGAACTTGAGTCGTAAGTGGTAACATAATTGTACTACAACAAACCAAGCCGAATAAAAATTATGAATTTTTGTTGTTGTGGAGTTCTAAAATTGGTACAAAAAAAACACGAACACTAGTGAAGACTATTCCCTTTAATAGATTATGGAGTTTTGTTCTTGTTGTCTTTTGGTAACTAAATTCGAATAGTTGTTATCATGCAAAAGTGTTCATCATCATAGAGAAATAAGAGACTGACCAAAGACAAACTTTTGCGTCTGGAAGGAGTAGAAGTCTCGCAACAAGTCACAGCTTTTCATCGTCCCCATACTTTTTACGAGACAACACTCTTTCAATTATTTTGTTCTTTTCTGTTTGGTTTCATTCACTAAACTAATTATTAAAAAAAAACATTTATTTGAGTACAGCAAAAAATAATAATCTGGACTGTCAATTTTTGTCTTTTTCTTTTATGGTTACACTTAGAGCATCTCCAACAGTAATGTCTGGAGGAATGTCTCAAAATTAAAAAATAGAAAATAATAAAAAAGTAGGAGAGAGTGTAGACACAGTTTTTGGTTTGAGAAACTGTGTCTCCACTTGTCCTTTTATTATTGATCAAATTCTTTTTTTATAATTTATAATTTAAATAAATAACTTATTTATTATAAATTGATTAAAATAGTATTTTTGAGACACCCACACAGTGTCTGATGGATGGAGATGCTCTTATTAACTTCTAACATTGAGATAAATTGGACATGTTCAAATTCCAGTCCTATATTTGTGTCATCTATATATACATTTTTGGAGACATCTATGAAATAAATCCTGAAGTTCCAACTTATTTACGATCAAATGTCATTGACATTAATTATTTAGATTTTCAAAATTAAATCAAAGATATTAACATAAAAAATCATTTTCAAAAATCTTAACTTAATATATTAAACATAACTAATTCTTGCCACAATTACATCCATATTCAATTCGATTTTCTTAAAAGATCTCAACAATCCCTACATTTAATCGTGTTCATTCAAATCTTAATCCGGTTTTTAATCTTCAATTTTGACCGTCGGTCATACGCAATTAATTCAGAAATCATTATATAGAATTAATTATTATTAACTAAAATTTAAAAATATATATATAAAAACGAACTTTTAAATTGACTCGAATTATATGTCTACTAAATAAAATATTATTAAAAATAACAAAATGATGTTTAATTTCATGGGACGGGGTTATATAGCGGGACGGGTTTGGATCGATATTAATACGGGACGATATTAATATCACGGATGAAATCTTAAAATTAACAATCTTAAAAGAGAAATTGTTAAAAATGCCCCTTTTTCAATACCTCTTTTCAAAAATGCCCCTTTTGAGAGTCCATTTTTAAGTTTGCCCTCTTTTAATTTTTAATGACCATTTTACCCTTATTTGAAACAAAATTAGGTCCACAAAATACAAAATATTTTTTGGCGGGAAAAGTGATCCCGCAATTTTCCCGCCAAAACACTTGTAAAAACCTTTAAAATACCTTGTAAAATTTTCCCGTAAAAATTTTTCCCGCCAAAAAATTTTTTTTGCCGAAATTTTTTTGGCGGGAAAAATTTACAAAGTATTTTAAAGGTTTTACGGAGTATTTACAAGTGTTTTTAAGGTTTTACAATGTATTTTAAAAGGTTTTACAAGGTACTTATAAGGTTTTATAAGGTATTTATAACTTGTAAAACCTTATAAAAAACTTGTAAAACCTTATAACTTGTAAAACCTTATAAAATAGCTTGTAAAATCTTAAAATATCTTATAAATACTTTATAAATACGTTGTAAAACCTTTTAAAATACATTGTAAAACCTTATAAATACCCTGTAAAAACCCTTTAAAATACCTTGTAAATTTTTCCCGCCAAAAATTTAACGCCAAAAAATTTGCGAAATCACTTTTCCCGCAAAAAAAATTTTTGGCCGGAAAATTTTTTGGCGGGAAAAAATTTTACGGGAAAATTTTACAAGGTATTTTAAAGGTTTTACAAATTTTTACAAGTGTTTTGGCGGGAAAAATTGGGGGATCACTTTTCTCGCCAAAAATATTTTGTATTTTGTGGACCTAATTTTGTTATATTTCCTTATATATTTATGATATCTTTTATTAAAAGAAGGGTAATTTAGTCATTTTGTACATAAAAGGGGTATTTTTAAAAATGGACATTCAAATGAGGCATTTTTGAAAAGGGGTATTGAAAAAGGGGCATTTTTGTGAGTCTCCCATCTTAAAATTAACAATCAAAATACAATTATACAATCTTAAACACTTAACAAAATAAAAAATATTAAAAAATACAATTTAAAATTTAATTTTTTAGTTAAAAAATCGATTCGCGGTGTACCGCGGAGTAAAATCTAGTAATTTTCATTTTTCAGTACAAATGGTGAAAATATGAGTACCGATCAAAACAAAGGCCTTATTATGGCCCAGTCTTAAGATAGTTAAGCCCATTATTAAACGCTGCGTTTCGAATCAATCTAACTTGTTCTTCAAGAAGTGCGTCTTCAGAAGCCAAAAGAAGAGTCTCTTCTTCGATTTCCAGATCAATCAGCTGGTTTGTTTCTCTACTCTCAAATAGTTCATTGAGATGATTTTCCTTTGTTTCTGAGTTTCTGGATTCATTTAGATCCGTTTGTTTTTCTAGGGTTTTGATTCCGTTGTGCGAAGGACTTAGAGGTTTCGCAGATCGAAATCGCAAAAGAAGAAGAAGATGTTTCTCACTAGGTATCTCTATCTTCCTCTTCTTCTTATTCCGCTTCTGGGTTCACTGAAAGTTTCGTCCTTTACTTGAATCGTTTGTTGTTGCTTATATGTGGTTTCTGATTTTGTTGTGCGAAGAACTGAGTATGACAGAGGAGTCAACACTTTTTCTCCAGAAGGAAGGCTATTTCAAGTGGAATATGCCATTGAAGCTATCAAGGTAACTTCTCGATTCCTCAATTTGTTACTTTCTTTTTGGAAATCGAGAAATTTGAAGAAAGGGTTATGATTTAGGGTTTTCTTTGATTGCTTTAGCTTATTGCACAAATTTTAGCTCACATTTCCATGTTTAATCGATGTGGTTTGGATTATATCTTGAGACTCTGATGAGTTTTGGAATTTTGTTGCAGCTTGGTTCTACTGCAATTGGAGTAAAGACAAAAGAAGGAGTTGTGCTTGCTGTCGAGAAGCGTATCACTTCGCCATTGCTGGTTTACTTGCTAACATTGAATTAGCTTGGTTCTATGTTAGTTATGGTGATATTAGCTTTCTCAGTCTATGTTAAATGATTTTTCTTTTTCCCCCAGGAACCGAGCAGTGTGGAGAAGATTATGGAAATTGATGACCATATTGGTTGTGCTATGAGCGGTTTAATTGCTGATGCGCGTACACTTGTTGAGCATGCTAGAGTTGAGACTCAAGTGAGGTTTCTGTTTCTTGGTTCTTTTCGTATAGCTTCAAAAGACCTTTTATGTGTTATTGACGGCTTTTTTGCTCTTGTACAGAACCATAGATTCTCGTATGGTGAACCAATGACTGTAGAGTCCACAACACAAGCACTGTGTGATCTGGCTTTACGGTTTGGTGAAGGAGAGGAAGAATCAATGGTAATAATCGAAATTGGAATCTTTAGTTGCTTTTACGTCGCTCGACGTAAGCTTTATGATTGAACGAATTCAGTGATTAGCGTAACTAAACAGTGATATTTGGAAATCCATGTTTTAGTCGTTAGTTGATATATATATATACTCATTTGGGACATGAGTAGTGAGTACTGATTCTCTTTTTCATCAATGTTACTACAGTCTCGTCCATTTGGAGTATCACTTCTCATTGCTGGTCATGATGAAAACGGACCAAGCTTGTAAGTTCTTATAGTTTTCTTCTACTGGTATGTTTAACTTGTGTCTTGTGAGGAAGTTAGTTGATGGTATTGTAAATGACTCCGTCTTGTTGCAGGTACTACACAGATCCTTCAGGAACATTCTGGCAGTGCAATGCAAAGGCAATTGGTTCAGGCTCGGAAGGAGCTGATAGCTCTCTCCAAGAGCAATTCAACAAAGTAACTTGAACCTTTTTCCAATTATTTCTCAATCAATCATTTGATTGCATCACTTGCTTTGCCATTAAAACCTTTAGTTTCATTAACTTGTTGCAGGATTTATCTCTACAAGAAGCTGAGACGATTGCTGTATCGATCCTCAAGCAAGTTATGGAAGAAAAGGTACAAATTTTACAATCCAAAACTTAAAATTCACTGAAGTTCTTGCTCAATCTAATTGTATTGGTTGGTGTTAGGTGACTCCAAATAATGTGGATATTGCCAAGGTAGCACCAGCTTATCATCTCTACACTCCACAAGAAGTCGAAGCAGTCATCGCTCGTCTATGATGGAAAAATCTCAATTTGGGTAATTTACCTATCCGCTTGTGTCACAAAACTTGTTACTTTTGTCTGTCAGATTGAGGATTCATATCAGATTTTTAGTCTGTTGTGTAAGAGAATCTTTTGTTTGTCTCCCATGTCATTCAATAACCTCTCGGATTTGTGATTAGAAAATTTCCTTTCCTACCACTTTTGGTTAGTTGCTCTTAGACCTGGCTTTGTCCTGACTTGGGGCCTATATGGATAGATTTTTCATGCCCGACAAGTGAATCTTGTTTAGTGTGGTTAGATAATTATTGAATTAGATTTTTATTTAGGAGCCGGCTCCTAATTAATCGACATCGGAAAATTAGATTTTATCGGAATCATTGTCATCCCTTGTGGTAGGTACATCGCCTACAATGTCCTGTAGGTGATTAGTGGTTTGTAATAGTAGCATCGTTGTGTTCACAATTCGAGTTCAAAGTGTGAGGTACAAAAGGAGAGTTGCTGTGGTAATTCCATAGCAAGAAAGAAGATATCGTATTAGGGATTACACAAAATACATCTAAGTTGGAAAAAATACAGATCATACAATAGTGTCAAATAAATATGAAGTAGAACGCAACTGGGTGTTTAAAAAAAATCCACAAATGCAATTATATTGTCACTAAATTAAGATAGTTGATGCGTCACTCCTGTCGCCGGTATCCAATCACCTCCATGTAAAAGCGTGGCCACCGTAAACTTCGCAGCCTCAGCGTCCGACATAACTGATTTATATCCGGCCCATTTAACTCTCTTGGTTACATCCGACCCTGGACCCGTATTCTTATACTCTCCGTACACAATACTTGCTGGCGGATCAACTCCGGAAACCCATGACATCCACCCGGACGGTCTAACCACCGGTCCAATCTCAGTTTCCATAATTACAGTCGTGGAAAAATCCTTCCACGGCCGGCCAAGATACGTGGGAGCAATCACATTGCCGTTTGCAGAGATAGTGCATCGCTGGATCGACATCCCTGAGTTTTGGTTCGGATCTTTTTTGCCCTGAGCGGTTATGGTGTTGAATTGATTAGGAAGAGGCTGTCGTGGCATGATTTTGCAGCCTTGGAAAACGACTGCGGCGCTTCCGAAAATGAAGTCAATTGTTCCGGTAACGTCGCAGTCACGGTAGAATTGCCGGTTGGAGTGAGGGTAAAGAGTGTCTTGAAAACCGTCGAAGGAACATTGGTAATAGACTGAAAAATCGGACCCTGATCGGAATGCTACCGCCTGATGTTTCGTTGCGCCGGCGGTGTTTATGATTCCGATATCCTTCATTATAAATCCTTTGCCTTGTATAGCTGCATCAAAAGTAAAATTTAACAACCATAGCTAAATGGGTAAACTATGTAACAATGTCAGGTCTTTTTGTTCTTACCTAAATCAAATCAAATTTTGACCTCTCCACTAATCTTAAGAACTCAATAATAGCAATTGGCTAGACCAAAAAATAAGCAGCAAGGGAAGAAGACGACTTACCAAACGTCGCCGTTTCGTAAGTAGGAGTCCCGTCGACGAAGTTCTTGCCGCCGGAAATAATGGTCTTTCCTTTACCGTCACCGTAAATCATAACATTCCATTTACTCTTATCCATCACAACATTCTCTTTATAAGTTCCACTCTTCACATATATCACAAACATCTTCAAACTCTTCTTCGGCACCCTCGCCACCGCTTCATTCACCGTCAACACATCACCGCTTCCATCACTCGCTACCGTCACATCAGGCTTCAAACTCTCCGTCTGCAACAACCTCCGTCGTGCCCATTCCTTAAAATCCACACTTTGCTGATGATGACTCATCAGTCTTCTTCTCCTGTGAATCGGAATCCCTAAATCGCTTAACGCAGCAAGAATCTTCGATACTATTGCAAGACTGTTGCTAGTGAACTCTGTTGATCTACTCATTGCCGATTTCAGATTCTGAGTGATCGTCGAGTTCGCATACTCTGTTTTGTTCTGTTTTAACTCGTCTAATGTATCGAAACACGTGTCGTGATCTGTTACCGTTGCGCTTAGCCAAGTTTTGAGATCTTCGATTTTGGAAGATGACAAAGTTTTCTTCTTTCCTTCGTCATCAATGGCGGAAACAGTGTCGTTGAGTCGATCTAAAGCATCTTCGATCAGATCTCCACAAACCCTTAACGCAGATTTGATTCTTTCGTCTTCTGTCTCTTTCGATAGCTTTTCCGGTAAATCGGAAATCGAATCGAGCTCATCGATGATTACTTTCAATGAGAGCTTAAACAGAGTCTCTGGATCTGATGTGTTGGAAGATGGAAGCTTTGAGATACTTGAAATGCAAGACTCAGGGAAACGAGTTACGCTGCAAATGGCTTTGAGTGAAGTGGATGGTGTTAACTCGGGAGGTGAACTCGGTGTTGACTCGTTATTCTTTTTGTGAACGACGGTGGCGACTACGGCGGCGATTATTACGGCGACAAGAACTACGACGGAGATGGATAGTAGAAGTAGACGTTTTCTTGTTTTTTTCTTCAATGCTAAATCTTCAGCTTCGTTAACTTTTCCATATCCTTTGAAGGAGTTCACAGAATCCATTAATCCCACAAAAGAAGGTTTAAAGCAAAGCTACTTTTTTCTGGTTTATGTGTTTATTGCTAAGATTTTTTTGGGGTTTGTTGTTTATGTTCTGTTTGTTGTTTATGTTAGAGAAGACATGTTGTTGTTGTCTTTTTAAGTGGGATTAAGTAATGTGAATCTATGAACGTGACGCGCTTGTTCCATAGTGGACTTCTTGGTGTGTGAATGTGCGTGATCTATTTGCATGTGAAGATTCATGATTACGTTGTAATTATTTTGATTAATCAACTTCATTATAATGTAATTTGGTTTAAAGACAAAAAAAAGTTTTTATGTATATGTCAAAGTCGGAGACTATTTAAACCGTAGTGTAGGCCCGTAGAAAGCGAACATTCTTCACAATTTATGGGATCGTTGGTATATTTTTAAAGTATACACATTGGAAAAACAAACAAAACATGAAAATGTCTACAAATTAAAAAGAAAATTAAAGAAAACAAAGAACATTATCTTAGCAACATTAAAATGGCCATGTGCGTTTCTAACATGTGGCGTCCCCATCTTTATCTCTTTAGGGCTTTAATGCCGCCGACAAGTGACACAACACCAACATTGGGTTTGTTTCCCGGTTTATCTTATTTCATGAAAAATAATCAACCCAATAAACCCGGTATAGTCCGGTTATTCAGGCCATGAACATCGGTTATCGGTTTAATGATATAGAATGTATTAATGTAATAGTTATGTCAACTTTGAGAAACACAAATCTTTATTTAATAATAACTCAATTTTTTTAATTTCAAAGACTTAACGAGAAAGGAAAACCGGTCGACGCTAACCAGCCTCCACCACCAATAAACTGACCAGCCGTAAATTGCTGAGCTTCTGTATCACTTGTAATTACCTTAAAGCCCTTCCACGTCACTCTATTTGTAGTTCCTGCCCCTCCTCCTCTATTCAAATACTCTCTATAAGTCAGAGTGTCCAACGCAAAACTTCCGCTCCACTCAAGCCATCCTTCGGGTCGGATCACGTCGGATATATCCGACTGCATTATCACCGTACGTGAGTACTCCTTCCAAGGACGACCAAGATATGTCGGAAACGTTCCTTTCACGGCCAAAAGATCCGACGTGCCACCAATCCGACAATTCTGAATCACTATCCCCGTGTTTTGATTCGGATCAGACCGTCCTTGAGCTGTAACCATGTTTTTCTGACCAGGATTTGGTCGGCGTGCGTTAATATCACAATCTTGTAAAACCGCGGCTGCGTTTCCGAAAATGAAATCGACGGTTCCGGTAATGTGACATTTCACAAAGAATTGACGATTTGAATGGACGTAAAGTGTGTCTTGGTAAGCAAACATGTCGCATTGGTAAAAAGCAGAAAAATCTGACCCGACTCGGAGAGCCACCGCTTGATGCTTTGAGGGACCCGCCGTGTTTTGGAATGTGATGTCACGCGCTAGGAAATTCTCGCCGACGGCAGCTACAGTCAATAAAAAACAACATTATGTAACCGTAGAAATGAGTTACGATCGTTTCTACGTAATCATTTAGACATTTACCAACAAAACGTTACACATGCGTCATCATTACATTACTTTTTTCCATACAAACAAATGTCTTATGTGTTATTAGCTATTAGTGGTGTACGTTTACCAAAAGTTATCGTAGTACGTGATATATAGTGGAAAAATATATGGTCTATCCAAAAACCAATATATAACGCTGTAAGAGAAAATTCAAACCGTTGAATTTGCTAGGCACTTAATAATATAAACAATTTTCTCCTAATTAAAGTGTACTTTTACAAATAACATAAATACTAAAAAAGGGATAAATATATTCTACCATTAGCAAAAAATATTATTGAAACTCTTATGTCTTTCACAAAAATGGCTAAATGACTATAACATAAATTTAACTTCTGCAGTGTAATTAGTTAAAAATCAAACATGTACAGTTGCAAAACTGTTTTGTCATTCTGATAATTTGCCAGTAACCAACTAAAAATTTAAAACCATGCTTTATCTTCTTTTTTTCTCTTCTCCACAATCATTTGATTTATATATATTTAATTTTCTTTTTGCAATTTCAAATGACTAAATATCCTTTTATTTTCTTAATTCCTTAAAAAAAGCCAAAGAAGAATAGTATTTACCAACAGTAGCGGAGTGGAAAGTGGTGCTTCCGTCGACGACATTTCTACTTCCGGTGATAATAGTTTTTCCTTGACCATCTCCCAAAAACATTATATTCTTCTTCTTCTTCGTCACTTCCACATTCTCTCTATAAACTCCTGCCTTTATATGTATCACAAATCTCTTGTTACTCTTCTCTGGCGCCGCAGCTACAGCCGCCGCTACCGTCGTAAAGTCACCGCTTCCGTCAGCCGCTACCGTAGCGTCTGCTTTGATCGTTGACCCTTGAAGAAGCCTTCTGTCTCCGACTGATAACCACATTGGCCATCCTTCGCTGTCTAAGTCACCGGTAACCTCCTTGAGCTTGCGGTTGTTGTTGTTGGTGAAGGATGAAGACTTATCTCTTAGCTCGAAGTTGGCTATGTCGGTTTCTGTCATGTTCTTGATCATTGCCAATGCGTTGCTACACATGTGCTCCACGTGTACCTGTTTTGATACCGTTCAATATAAAGCTGTTACATCTATTCTAAACTTTTCCTAGTAAAACAAATGTTTTGGGTACGTATTTAATTTAAAGAGTTAATGTTCTAATTGTGGACCAACAATTAATCAATACTCTTTTTCACCGAGTAAATCGTATGTCAAAGATAATACTAGTATGATTTAACTCTTAAGTAAGCTACACAAAATTAATAATGAATTGTGATTTTTATGCATATATAACCCGAGAGATCATGTGTTGAAAACCGAATTAATACCAAAATTCGTGAAATGTTGAGTTATTTTTTTTTTAATTATCTATGAATAAAATCAAACCTTAATTAGTACATTTTTAAAATCATGCAATTTATTTTTCAGTCGAACTAAATTTGACTATAGAGATAAAGTAGATAAAAAAAAGTTTCTTATCATTTGATAGTTTATAATTGTCACTATAATATATAATCTAAACTTTTATAAATATTTACGTACCTGGCCCTTCAATAACACCTTACGAACTTTCCTATCAGCGTCGTCGTAAGAGAAACCGTCAAGGCAAGTCCCTTGGTTAGTAATGGCTGAGCTAATTAGTGTTTTGAGATCATCGGCATGTTTCCTCAGAGATTTTTGTTTAGGATACTGATGAATATCCTCCACCGCCACGTGAAGCTCATCTAACGTCTCGTCGATTGTCTCCAAACAGTCGTGAAGCGCCGTGACCTCACGCGGTGTCAAACCTTTTCGCTTCGCGATCAGCTTCTTGACGGCGAAGTAGTTGTGTTTCACGGCTTTGGTTGTTAGGTTAAGTGACGCTTCGATGACTTCTTTCTGTGACGTCAGCTGTTTTCCTCCGGTGGCTGCCACGGTGGAGAAACAGAGCTCCGGGTAAAGTGTTGAGCTGCAAACAGATTTAAGAACGGCGTGTGACGTTGAAGATAGAGTTGTGATTTTTTTATTTTTGTTTTGGTTTGTTGTGGCGGCGATTCCGACTACGGTGGCGAATAACAATAAGGCTATCGCGGCGGAGGAGAGAATGAGTTTCTTGTTGTTCTTGAAATCAGAGAATTTGGATATGAAATCTTTGATTGGTGCCATTATTTTTAACAATGTTGTTGTTTGTGAGGAAATAGAAGATGGTGCAATAGGGTTTATATTGTTGAGTTTTGAGATGAAAAACTATAGAATGTGTTTAAAAGTAGTTATTTTTGTCTTTCTAAAATGTTTTACTTGCTTGGCTGTATGCATTAATTAGTTGAGTGGTACATTTTCAAACTTTCTTAGGCCCACTTTTGTATCATATGTTTATAAAATAAGTAGCTCTTTACAATATTTGTAAATTATTTCGATAATATTTATACTATCATTTTAGAATATAATTTCCTTGATTTGTATGAACATGCGATTATTTTGATTTCCGAGGAGGAAGAAGCGACCACTTTCATCCACGTTGATACTCAATTACTCATAAGTCATAAACATGAGAGTATGAGACAACATAATATATTTAGTAATTTTTTTAATTCTTTGTATATATTTTCAATGAAAGCTGTCCAACAATTTTAGTTATATGGATAACACACCGAAATCGAACTATACAAGTTTTTGAAACTTAATGTGAATCATATCGAAATATTGTCGAAAACTGTCTATCGTGTATACGTTCTTTTGTTTATCATGAATAAGATGGTGTTGTTTTTATTAACTCTAAATAAATTTATAACTATAGAATTAAGTTTTTTTTGTCAACAACTATAAACTTCAAGATATATTCCTTCATCACATGCTGTTTCCGGGAATTATGCTAGGAAAAATATACGATATATCTTAAATGTAGCTGGAAACGACAGATATTCTTTAATAGGTGTTTTATATATATCAAAAATGAAATTCTGTGCGCGTCACTAGTTTTGCACTTTTGCATGTCAAATGAAGGTTGAATTTGTGGAGGAAAAAAATGAACGTTGAAATGATGTTGTCGTTATTTTCCTTTTCTCAAAAATTCAAAATACTAACCATCTTGCTTTAGATAAAAAATTGCAGAAAATTTAATATCTTAAGAAATAAAATGTAGTACGTGTTACTCCCTCTGTTTTACAAAGAGTGTCATTCTAATATTTTCACACAAATTAAGAAAAGTAAACAAATTTCATTTCTACCTCTTATTAATACACTAAATAATATCCCCTCTCTAATTAATAAGCTGAAATAGTAGGGATACAAATGAGAATTAATCTTTAAAACTGCATTGAAAATACAAAACGACACTTTTTATGAAACGAGATTAAAACCTTAAAACGACAATTTTTGTGAAACGGAGGGAGTAATAATATTTGAAAGTAAGTGTCATGAAACATTAGATCAATTTGAAAGTTATAGTTTAACATAAATCTTTGTTTTTTAAATGAAAGTTATAAGTTATAGTACTTCTTGGCTACCATAAGGCTACAAGATCAGAAACTTATTTTCTAGTTGTGAACGTAATAACAAAAAAAAAATCCATGATACAAAAGCATGTATCAAAATAAAGATTTAATGTTGACAAAAGAACCAAACAAAAGTGAATCAAATAATATTCGCTCTTGGCGTCTATTAGGCTGCAGGACTGTCACGGGATCCACCTTCTTTTTGGTACAATCGG